ATATATATATATATAGAGCAGCACCGTTTACTTGTATTAAATGTATTTGTTCTTCTCTTAGTTAACTCTGTCACTTTCTCAATGATATTTTATCACATCTTTAAAAATATTTTTTGGTAAAATATATTTTGTAACTATATTACAAATTACAATTGTGTGTATTTTATTAAAATAATAATTGTTAAATATCTTCAAGTGAAAGTGAAAGAGTTACATTTTTCATTTATAAATTATTTTTTATTTGTGTTTCTTTGATTATACTTTTATATTTATTGAGACACATAAGTATATAAGATGATACGTTTAAATATTCTGTTATGAAAATAGGCCCTGCATGATTAAAATATTGTTTACACATACAGTAAATAAAACACACATAATTACACGTTAATTACGTTTACATTTAATTGGATATAATATTTTTAATATCAAAGTGTGAGATATAGTAGAATTAAATTTTATATTATGTGTAATTTTTCATTCCTAATTAGTGTAATCTGCACTAATTTACACTTTCTATATCATTCTATCAAAAATTAATTTAAACCACAAAATTAGAAAATAATTCCCAAGTTTTTATATACATATATGTGTATGTTTCTTATTTAACGACGGTTTTTTATTTGCTGCTTTTTAATTTAATTTTGTGTAGCAAAAATAAATGCTGTATGAGATCTTGACATTCGTCATATAATCAACATTTTTATGCATATTTTTGAAAATTATAAATAATCGAAAAATCAATTATAAGATTGCGACCGAAAAATATATCAGCGTTTGTTTTCGAATTCGTCACTCGTGCCGAATCGCACCATTGGGTCCACTGTCATCCCATCATGTCGGTCGACAGAATATTTCTACAGTTTTTGAGGCCGTTCTTGCTGTACGTTAATTTTTGTTATCATTTGTTTTGTATTTTCTCGCCAAGTCCAAGTCTCGTTATCGCAACTAACACGATACGTGGAGCTATTTACAAAACGGAACACTTAACAACTGCGCCTGCGTTTAGTTTATTGCGAGCTAATTATCGAGCCGTCCGTTTTTATTTCTTCATTCTAACGCAATTAATGGGCATCTGTTTGTATAACACGCGCATTCTCTCATCACTAGCCTACACGTTCGCACGAAACTCTCACATCATCAAATTTCAGAATTGTAACTTTTGAGGGATCTTTTTTGAGCTCTAAATTAATCATTTAACTGAAATTTCGCTTCAAGTAATGGCGCACATTTTGAAGTCGCATGTTTCATTCTGCTAATCAATCGTAAAATTAAGAGGCATTCAGAAGCAATGATTGTAACATACGACATATTCTCTTTTTTCAATTTTTAAAAATTTATTTAATAAATTAAATGTATTAAAATTTTTTATACACATTTAATGTAATATTCCGATATATATGCTATTACATTAATATTTTTTATCAGGTTCATTTAATAACAAAAATTTTATATTTAATTTAGAAAAAAATATAAGAGACTTTTTGTATTCTTTTTCTTGTTAATATATGTATAATATATTCCATAACATAATATTACAATGCATTTGAAATGAAAAAAGGGATTAATTAGAAAAGTTTAAATATATATTTTAGTAATGTAGATGTGATACGTGCATTTTATAATATTAAATTTTTAGTTAACTTGAATTAGCGTAACAAACATGCGACCCGCTCTTGTACACTTTTTTTAGAGATATGATGGTAAAAGTGAGTGTCCAAACATAATCAGATAGTCGTAAAGATGTAAAGATTTTTTTAGCTATAAATAACATTTTTCTAGAAGTAAGAAATAGAATGAAAAATTTGAGACAGATGACAAGGGAAAACTGTTAATATTGCAAAATAATGTGTATCTAAATTTAAATTTAAACATAATCATTTACATAAAACAACGTATAAAAGAAGAACAAATTGATAAATTTATATAGAAAATAGATATAGTAGAATATAATAGAGGACACAGTATCTTTTACACAAATCTGAAAAAATTGTCAAAGCTTTAATTTATATTATCTGTATTTATATACAGGATGATTCATTTATGAATAAGTTTACTCATATTAATTATTTCCTTAATCTAAATGCTTTAAATTAGGACAAAATGATTTTGTTTTAAGAAATCTGCATTGTAATAACCCTATCTGTATATCTATGTAATGATTCACCCTGTATATATCGGGAATTATATCAGTCGTATATATTAAAAAACCATGGGACATATATTAGAAATACAATAAATATTGAGTATTCCTATTTTCCTATTATTTGGAAGGGACAGGAGAATTAAAAAACTCAAATATTTTTTATAAATTTCTAAAGGTAAAATGTCGATAAAGGTAAAATTGACATTAGTTCAATATTCATTAAGCTTATTAAGTTCATGATTGTGAGAATACACCTAGTAAAAAAGTTAATATTAAATTGAAAAACTTATGTGAATTTTATTTTGACATTTACTTTAGCAAATAAGTGAATATAATTTGTGAGAAAGATAAAGACTATAATAATTAAAAGAAATAATTGTTGATATCACACATGATGAGATTTATAGTATCATTGAAATTAATCATTTAAAATTGAAAATAAACAGCGTTTCTCTGATATTTCTAAGAAACAATTCTACTTGTTAGATTATTAACAATGAGCGTCTTTAAAAAATCAACACAACGGAAAAAAATGTTATATTTAAAATGTAATTCAAGTCGAAAGAAGTTGCATAATCTTTATCAATATATGCACGGTGAGTCTAGGCGCGAGTTCTAGTAACAGTTTCTTACTCTTAAAAGTATCTAATGTTAAAGAGTAGAAAAATTATAAAAGTACGAAGGTCTATAATCGTTAACATGAGAGAGATTCCGTGCGGCCGCTTCACTGCCTTCTTCTCGTCTTTTTTTAGCTTTGAAAAATATCTAATAGTGTTAAATACTACTTTTAAATAAAGCATTATTTTTTAATTAAAACTATTGGTTACAATGTAACTATTGGTTACGATGTAACTATTTATTAAAATTGATTATAAATAGCTTCTTCCAATATTTTCGATATTATTATTAATAGAATCTTCCTTTATTTATTTTAGATTTATTATTAAAATTTTTTTTTAAATCGGGAGAGTACAAAGTCTTATATAACGCATAAGAAAATGAACCAATAAGAATCCTTCATTTTCTTTCGTTTTCATGAAAAAAAAAAGATTTTGATAGGTTAATTTTCTTATGTTTTTATGTATTATACGTTATGCAAAAGTATATACTCCGATCTTTAAACTCTTCAAGCAAAAACGTTATTAGAATTTAAATCTCATAAAAATTTTACGACATAATATCTGCATAAATACGTTATAAAAATAAAGATGTAATAATTTTATTTGAGTTATAGAAGTATGCGTCTTTTTGTTTTTAATATTTAGTTGAAAAGAAAGCAGTATCATATATTTTAATTCTATTAAATTAGAATAATTTTTTTGACAAGTTTAACCGAGATAATAATTTCTATTGTAATTATGAGTACAACTTTTATAAAATCGATATACTTTTTGTACATTAATGTGTTTTCTTCCGGCATTATTTTCCTTACTTTCTAGACATTCTTTAATTAAAATTATTTTTAATGACTTTGGCTAGAAATCAAAGAACTAAAAAAGGGAAACTTGAAACAAAGAAATCAGTAGATTTCACTTTAACTACATTCAGGTTCTTTGCGGCGTCGCACGGAAACACTCCTAAAAAGGAGTCAGTATAAGGGAAGATAGATAGAGAGGAAAATGGTTGATGGGGGTAGTGAGAGAGTGTATATTTTTCTAAACGATGATGGAAGAAGTGCAGCAGAAAGGCACCGAGAAAAGGTTTACGTGATTGTACGAACGTTAGATGCTAAAATCAATCGACACGGACTCGTTCTTGTACAGTCTCTAAAAAGTCTCGCACTCGCCCTATTTATATATATATATATATATATATATGTGTACGTATATATGTATACATTCCGCCCGCCTAAAATTGTGCTAAACTACTTGGCACACGCACGTACAATCGCACACTCACGCATCTATTCGCGCGTATATATATATATATATATCTTCGCACACGTTATCCTCGGCTCTTTCTGAATTTTAGATTTCAACTAGACACTGTTTGATTGTTACATTTGGCAATTCGGCAGCACTCACAAGTTTTCAAGCTCCTTGTCTTACAACGCGACTATGGGGCGACATGCTGTACGCCATACACCGCTGAGAATTTTGTTTAAGCATCTTGTTAATTTTAAAAATGCTCGTGAGAAATATATATTTCATTTTTATGCTATATTGCGCGGATCCACAGCTACGAAAAAAATATTGTACATAATGCATAGTTATTCGTATTATAATAAATGCGGGATTTTCGAAGAAATTTTTAATAGATTTTTTTTTCTATATTTGTTTTTAATATATTATTTGTTAAAGAGAAAAACGATAGATACGTGGCTCAATAGAAGAAATGGATTGGAACAAATTCATCAGCGTGTTGGCATATAGCAAAACGCACCTCGCGGTAGTAATAATTCTGTTTTATTCTCCTACAGCCGCGTTCTAGAACTTCGCCTCTTGTGACGACTACTTTCTCATAACGTCATCATAATTCTCAAGCGAAATGTCGGCTTTTATATACGTATATATAACAATAATTCAATAAGGCATACGATATCCAATTAGGGACTTCCCCTTATTTATCACGAAACTTTTACGTGTATTCCTTGAAGTTTGGACATTTCTCGCTATCTCTCTCTTTCTCTTTTCCTTTTTATCTCTTCGAGAAACTTTCTTGTAATCTCTTAGGTCCGCAAAAGTTGACATTTTTTTGCCTAATGGCCGCGAGTGTAATGGATAGCCGCATATAAATTACTAGAGGGAATTACATGGATCTAGTAGTCATCCGAGTATACATTCTCTCCGTATTTCGTGTCTTGTTTTGCGGCTTGTTAAATTCGTACCTCTCCGGGGCGAAGTTTGGAACGCAGCCAACGTAATATAAAGTCTCTTCTTCACGTAGACGACGCGACATCAGAGTCTCGCCTCCCCTCCGTTCTTTGTCGATCGGCGAGGACGAGTCGCTGTCGTATACGCTCAACGTAACGCAACGTGTATGTATGTACACTTATCTAAAAGTAACGGTCGTAGCACTGCGTGCGTGGCCTATTACATAATATTTCTTCTCTTTTTCTTTTTTTTTTTTATTCCCGATATAATAACTTTTCGGCTCGTCTTATTTGTCTACTATACAAATTTTTGGCTAGAACAACGGTAGGTAGTCCTCGTGCGCTCATTTTTCTTTTATGTAAATGTGTTTTACTGTATTTTCTGTTTTTTATTCATTTATCATCGTGTACCTGGAGGGGCTGACCGGCAGTGATGTTAGCCTCGGCGGAAAAGTCTCCAGATGTAGACGTAGAGGCATATATGGCTCGCTTGGTTCAACTACGTTTTTACCTTTTTATCGAAAATAGACACAAGTTGCTCTTGTCAACGATAAATATCTCGTCTACTATATATCTTTTTTTTATCTTTTTGTTCTTTACACCGACGCGCTCTAATATTTTAATACATTTGACTTTCTACATCCAGCGAGCTTCTCGTCAGCTAATATCACTGAATTAACGGAGATAAAGAACTGAAACAACTTCACTTAATCCTGGTCTTATTGCTTTCGAGTACTTTTACTTTTTCTTTAAATCAGATACAGGTCTGATTGTAAGGATTTTTGTTTCCATGGAATATCAAATCGATCGATATTCCAGTCCAGGGATAAATTTATCAGACAACTTTATCGAAAAGACCGATAAAATAGATCACCTCGCAAAAATACGGCAATCAGGAAACTTGGGCAACTTTGATTCGATGGGACCGTTTACTGCAATCGCTCTATTTTCCGGTTCCCCTCCATCGAGCACGGTGTTTATTTATTCGCACGCACAAAAGGATTATAGACACGTACACGTACACCCAAAACTTTACAGAGCTTACAAGATTACACAAATAGAAATACGTTTTATTTCCTCGCGTTAGGGAAACCGTCAGATCGACGGCGAATCGGCCCTGATGGAAAAATCGGTGACAGGAAAAACCGGTTCGACGATTATCCGAACAAAAGTGCTGTTTCCCTCGTTTCTCTCTCTCTCTCTCTCTCTCTCACTCAGATTTCTTTCTCTCTCTCTCTCTCTCTCTCTCTCTCTCTCTTTCTCTTTCTTTCTATTTCATTCTTCCATCCGCTCGTCTCGCTGAAAATCACATGTTACACCGACATCATACAATCGAGCATATTGCGAGCGTATTATTGTTTTCACGAGAAGTATCTGTTCAACGAACTTGATTATCGTCGCGCTTGTATATAAAAATAATTCCCTATTTCCTCCGTGACATTGTCAATCGGCCTTCCTTCGACAGTCTCCTGAGTTGTGAGTTACGCGGTTCACCCTGATCGATTGGAACGAGTTTCTCCGCTCGTTTCTCGGATAGTCCTTTGTGCGATATTAGATCACCATTGCATGCGTCCTTATCCCAAGTTTGGCTGCTCAAGATCTCGCGATCTTGAGCGGCATCACGAATGCTAATTAGGACGCGACGAATGTCTTAAGCGAGGAAGTGCATTTGCTTTGCTTTCGTTGTTAAATGGATCACGGATGTCGATGTGCGCCTGGTTGTGTTACGAAGGATGCTCGTATGAAGAGATTCAAGAATATGACTGAGTGACGGAAAATAATGAAGTCGTCCAATCTTCTTCGACTACGTAAGAGATTATGGAGCACGGCTTACGATGCCAGATAAATTGCGCTCATTTTCTCTGGTGCGTCGAGATGCTGGCGGGTATATCCACAATACAGTTATGTGAACTTTCAGATAAATCCGACTGCGCGCGTATGCGTTGTTCACCAACTCAAATATATTCTCAAGTATAACGGGGAAGGCAGATGACTAAAATATATCAGTAGATGAAATCTCAGATATAATTAGACTAATTGTAAGTCGCCGTCGGCCTCGCCTCGCGTTTCGTCCTTTTAAACGGATGAAATTCGACCCGGGTTTCGTGCTTGCTATAGAGTGTACCATACAATCCACGTAAAATGCCTTCGATTTGGACTACCTTAAGATGGGTCTGGTTCCGGGACAGAAGTCACTGCCGTAATATCGAAAATCTCCGATATTTCCTCGCGCGCTCGGAAAATGCTTTCCGTCGTTCTTTTTCTATGTTTCGTATATATTCTTCTCTCGTCTTTCATCAGCTAACATTTATCCTTTATGTAGCTTTTTTCTTCATTCTCATTTATAAAGCTTAAGTATGGTATCCAATATGGTATAATAATTTTATTTTGTTTTCTTTTAATTTCGTTATATCCAAATTTTGATTTTTAAAAATAGTTTTATAACAATTCCATACGACAATTGTTACATTCGTGAATTATAGTTGAATTCATTGATCGATATAACAATTGAATCTCCAAATTCATGTACATTATAATTATCTGGAGTTTTAATGGCGACAAGATTCAAGAAAAAAAGAGATTGTTTTCTAAAAGTACAAGACGGTTAAAGATTAGATAATGTTCAACTTTTGAGCAAATGATTTCCTCAGATATCGACATTCTGAATTTAGCTTCGTATCTCGATAAAAACAGGTCGAAGGACATGCTCACTACGAAAGATGCATTCTAAAAGAGCGTTTCTTGGGACCATATTGGCGGGATTGATGGTAATGGCGTTGGTGGTGGTCTGTGCCTTAGCTCGATCGGTGAACACGGTGGAGATCCCACGCTACTCTGACTGCTACTGGTTGTCGTTGAGGCTGGTTGCGACCTATTATCAAAAGTTTATTAATTAAAGAAGAAAAGAAGATGAGTGTATTTTAATAATATATAATCATAGGAAAAAAGAAAAGCTCAGATACAAGTGCTTAAATGCATAAACATTTATAACAAGTAATATAATAATAATCAAGTTCTTTGATGATGTTTTTTTGGGAGAAAATTTTTGTATAGTTATTTTTGATCCAATTGTATCGTTAAGAAAATTTTAAATAGATTGAAATGTCTGATATTTTTGTGATTATTAATATTTACGCATGTTCGTTATTATATTGTTATGATAACAAAGGTTTTTCGCTTTAAACTTCGCAGCTATACAGTCTCTCATCGTGACAGCAACATTTTCTTTTTCGTGTGAATTCGTAATAGGGATTTACCTGGAGGTTTCGACGGCGGCACTGATGGTCAAACATTCTTGGCAGGGTTTACTACCGGCTCGTCGCCTGGGCACGCAGCCCGCGCATCCGTCCCATTTTTCGGGGATCCGTTTTTTCCTAGAAGGCACCCGTAGGAACCGCCGACAGCTTGGCCCAGGCGCATCCGAGTCCGTAGAAAAACCCGAGACCTCGTCCTCAGTATCGACGCACTGCTCCTCGTCCTCGTTCTTCAGAAAGACGGAATCGGAGCCGAGCGACCTGGTATCTGGATCGGGAGGATCTACGCTACCCATCGATGCCAACGGTGCTCTTTTGCCCGATGACGCCGCCATAAGGCTGCCGACTGCACCGGCATAAAGACCGACTTCGCTTCCGCATGGCGATAAATCCGGAGTTGGCTGTATGACCTGATTACATTATAGAAATTGTCAATAAATAAATAATATTTGGTGATATTTTTTAGCACTAAATGTGGTTTAATGGCTTCTGCACATTGGATGCGAAAACGCTTGCCACGCGGAAAAATGTGACGCGACAGCCAATAAGCTTACAGCTCCTAATATGTTCATTGGTTACTGTGTTGCATTCAGTCGCATGGCAAACATTTCCGCGTCCAGTGTGCAGGAACCATAATTCATTTTTATTTATCATTTGTAGCAGATGAGTTAAATTATATTCTAAAATGGAATAGTAAAGTATTAGTGTTATAGTAGAATTATAATAATATGAGTAATCATATTATTGTGTGCCTTCCAACAAGTAACACAGATGACACAGTATGTCATTACATCCTTGTTGTTTGTCAATGTTAAACAAGGATCACTGTTGTACTTGTGTCGCTTGTTGGAAGGCACACATTATCTAGAGCGTGAACATGACATGGCAGACAGCGTACTGGTCATCAGGACCCAGAGGTCCCGGATCCTGGAAGGAGCCAAAATATTTGCTCGTGTCTTCTCTCGGAAAAAGCCGGCAATCTCCCAAGAATATTCTTGCCCACAGAAATATCTCTCGAAAAATCCGCCGTTTGGAACCGGCATTAAAATTGTAGGTCATATGCTGACAATTATTAAATAATTAGAGCGCGCGAACAAGCATATGAGAGAGAGGTATAACACAGACCACAGGCCTAACGTAAGAAGAAGTATTAATATCTAAGATTTTGACAATTTTATTAAAATTATTATAGAATAAAGATTCTAAATAAAAATAGACTCAGAGCCATTAAATGTTCAATGTCAACTATTGAAAAGAATGAAAAAGGAATCGTTTCGAAAGACATAAGATTGCAAATATCGAGTATATATACCTGGATATCGATAGGGTAATATAAATCCCATGGCTCATCGTAGGCGGCGTGACGCGGGTAGGATGGAGGAGGTGGAAGGCACGGCATTACCATGGCTGAACCCCTTCGTTCCAGATAACTGCTTCCAGTGCTGCTACAGGTGACCGAGCTACATCTTCTGTGATCGACCGGGGGAGCCAACCTCGGTTGCCTGATTGGCGGTGCCAGCAGGGAGTCGTATCCACCGACTGAGGCGAAGCGAGGTGCTACCACGGGTGAATGAGACTGATCCATCTGACATAAATATTTCTATCAATTACAAATACTTGGCGAACGGACAAATTATAAATTGAAAGCCACTCTGTGAACTAGAGAGCATTCTCTGAACGCCACTCTGTAAACTAGAGAGCACTTTCTGAAATGGCATGGCGTCAGTCCAAAATTTTTATGTTCTATCGAGAAAAAGTGTAAAACTTTACTACTTGAAAACTGTACGATCCAATCAATAGTGATGTTTCAATACATAAATCTTCTCGACGATTTTTTTAGTTACGATATATTTGTTATTAAATAAAAATTGTTATAATTCAGTGAGGAATATCGATATCTTTACTACTTTGTAATTTTAGAGATTAAAGAAAAAAAAACGTAAATTTCAAATGAATCAAAAATTCATTTAGTTTTTCAACAAAAAAAGTAGAATATTTACGATTTTGTTAATATTTCAACTTTAATGATACATTTTACTTTTAGAAGAATGTATTTCATTTTAGAGTTGGGTGTAAGTATATTTAAAAATATATAAAAAGAAGAGCATAAAAAACCACAGCATTTAAAACATTAAACGTTTCGGCCACAATCTGGCCATCTTCAGTAATTCAAATAAATAATTAATGTTTTAATTAATGTAATAATAATTAAATATCACAAACTATAACTTGTGCTGTGGTTTTTTATGCTCTTCTTTTTATATATTTTTAAATTTATAACCACGTAAGTATATTTGTTAATTATTTTAATAAAAGTATTTAAACTATGATATACCTCGACGCATAATGATCTTCTCGGACCACGACCTAGCCTAGGTGGTAACCTGGCGATCGCTTCGAGAGCAGCGGCGAGGGCGCGTTCCTCAGCTTCAGCTTCTGCGACCGCCGCTGCTGCCGCTGCAGTCAAAGTTGGATCTTCCAGTTGTTTACTCGCTTTGCATCTGATAAATATATCGATCACATTTTAATTGCATTTTAATGACGACGACAAATACTCGTTTAAACATTCTTAAAATTACCTGCTCTTGTAAACCACCAGCAACACCATTAAGCTGAAAAAGCCACCAAGGGTCGCGGCGATCCGTACCCCCGTCATGACATCGTACGTTTTGTAAAATTCGATTTTGACCTGTTCACGTTCGCTTAGTGTCGGAGTTGCGTCTGGCAGGAACGTCGTTGGATCTGTCGTCGTCGTCCCTGTCACGTTGCTGCCGACACTCCCCATTCCTGCGAATCAGACAAATTCGCTATCGTTACACGTGCGCAAAAAAAAAAAAGAAAGAGAAATATATAGGTTTGCGGATTTGAGCTGAATGCTGATACTCTGCAAATTGTGTGTGAGTTGAATGCGAGATGTATATAAATTGTTTGCAAATATTGTCAAAAAGATAATAAGTCTTGAAATTTGTAAGAGGCTTTCTGTAACACGGGCTGTAATGTGTTTATCATCGAGAATAAAATATAGAATATAAAATATATAATTTGTTTATTAATTTAACTTAATTTACCGATTGTAAATGTAAATCTAATAGCGGCGACAATTTCTATAATAAAAAAAAAAAAACAAAAATGAAAAGGAAGAACAATCACATTTGAAGGAACTAAACTACTTGTAAGTATTTCAGGGAGAGGAAAGTGCATAAGCTATAAATCACATCGAGAGCATTTGTTTACCGAACTGTGTCGGCCAACGTGTGCTGACTGGGCTCGAAAATGGAGTGACGGCGCTGAATTTCCTGGAACAGAATGAAGGCGCGCCGTCAAAAGAGGAGCTGGCATTCATCCGGCAGGATTTTGCATTATCATGAAAGTACGAGAACAAAAAAAAGAGAGAAAATACTAGGCAAAAGAAAATCGGCGTAAATAAGAGTGGGGACACATGCGGAGGATTTAGTAGTGGGAAAATGTGAAAAGAGGGGTGTTTAAAGAGGAACACACACAAGGAGAAGGCCACAATCATTGAGCAACGGTATCGCGACGGAGAAAATGAAAGGTACGAGGTATATACACGTTGCTCTCGGGCTTGGCCGGTTAGCATTGTGTAAGTAGAGATGGTCGTAGGTAGGTTCATGTATTGATTCCACCTTTGCGAGCCTACCTCCAATGGTTAGAAGCGACGAAACGTACAGCAACAATCTATCAAGACCAAAATTTGTTCTAGAATGAATTATTATTCGTTTTGTTGTTAAGCTTTTCAGAGCTTTGGATTACGGGGATCAAAAGCTGGACGTTTTGTCAAAATGGAAAAAAAATGAAAAAAATTATTTTTTTTTATCTTTGAAATAGAATTGATTCTGCCATTATTGAGACGCTAGTATATTGAGACGTTAATATATCGCTAATATATTATTGAGAAAGTTGGACAGCAATTTCTACAATTGACAAAACTCTTTACTACAATTATTTCCAATTTTTATGATCACTGATGAGTCACAGACGAGCAAGACAAGATTCTAAAGGGGATCGTAAGAGATGAATTTAATGTGTTGAGTAAGTCCAGTAATTTTAATATTTCGAGAAAAAGTAAATAGTGACCGACATCTGTGTACATAGTATAGAATAAATAAATACGAAATAAATAAATTTTTCAAATGTCAGTCTAATATCACTGCCTGCGCAGAAAATATCAGCGGTACATAAAACTGCGCATTAATTAGATATTGGTCAATTTTGCAACACAATTATCTCGTAAAACTATTTGTTCTCTCATATTTTTACATCAACATTAAGACAAAAATTTTATTAGTTACAATTAAAATATTTTTATACATGAGAAATTGGTACAAAAAATATTAAAGAACATTTCAGTTTTGTGGAAAGCTTCGTTGGTACGTTTCAAACTCATACGACAGTATTGAACTGACAATCTGTTCGATGACCGAAAAATTTTCTATTTATTTGCTGAATCCAATATTTCAGATTACTGGAAGAAATATCAGGTTTTTACATTTCACTGAACATTTTGCTTTGATGGAATTTAACAAGTTCCTTTGTTTAGAAAGTTAATAATTTAATAAAAGGATAATAATTTAATAGAAGATATATCGCCCTTGAAATTTCCTCGTCTTCTCTCCATTGATTCAATGTCCTTAATCACTTGGGTTAGGTCAGATTAGGTCAGACGACAACCTGTGGATGCTCCACGTTCGAGAAGGTTGTTCCATGTGTTCTCACCAGCCGTACCCCGTAAAATTAACGGCGCGGTAAATCCCCCAGAGAGTTTCCACCTACAGAATTCTCACCACGTAACGAGAGCTATTTACTGTTTAGCGTATAGGACAATAGAAGGGAAAAGTCTTACGCAACAACGTGAAATTATCATAAAGATATTATTTCCATTAAAATTTTATAGAATTAGCGAGCCCACTCACACACACACACACACACACACACACACACACACACTTCCTTTCAATTTTTCTATCAATTACTGCTTAATATTTCAATCAAAATATTAAATTTAAACAAGACACTTTCTGAATATTCAAACTAACATGTAAAGTTATTATTATTGTCTTTTATGAGAAAATGTCGAGAAAGATCATATGTGATTAATATTAATTTTTAATCTTTTATTAGATATTTTGGTATCTCATTCTTAAAATATAACTCTATTCCTCGATAAATACTTTAATTCTCGAGAACTACTTAAAAGAAGAAACTACTTAATATTAAAACTTGATCACTTGATGAATAATCTTCTTTGATATTTTTTTTATTACCGAGAAAAATTGACATAAAAGTGGAATCTGATGAGAGAGAGACCACTCGTTAAGTCATTCATAACACAAAGAACAAGATGAAAATGAAATAGCACTTCATTGTAGATTCATCTTTTGAAGGATCTATGTATTTTTTATCATTTTATAATTAATTTCTGAAAGAATATTCATCATTACGTGCCGTAGATTCGCGTAGTGTAATCTTTTCATAATTCACGCATTTTAATTTTTAATCCAGTAAGTACAGTTATTTTCCGAGTAACTCTCGTAATGCTGTGTACGTAGGAACGCGAGAGAATCAGCATTACATCATATCTTCAGCCCAACTGCATCGGTAGTTCGTGCATAACAAGCGATTGAGTATATCCGACTTACGCGTTACCCATTATGCGTTCTAACGATCGCACCGTGCGGCTTACATATAACACCACCGATGAAATTTTGAAGGAGATTAGCGAAGTAGATTCTGCTGCGCGCATGTGCTATTAAATTTGCGTACAATACAGCCTGAGAGTCTGCCGGAATAGAGAAGGTATAATATTAGACGGGCGTAGTATAATCAAACGGCTGCGTTCTGGTGAAGTCAAACATACAGATCGGTCTTCATTCTTTGGCAACGTTTGCTCAAAGGAAGTAGAGTAATCTGTGACTTTCATGCCTTTCCTCGTCTTTTCGTGTTAACGACAGCTAAAGCGAATCAGCCTATAAACAATCGAGGAATCATTTTGCCTTCTTTTAATCGTAATTCAACGCAATTATCAATTTATTCAGTGAAGCAGATACATCTCTAAAGAATTATATACGTATTTGTCATCTAATTGTATTGAAAATTAAATGTTATCAGAAATTACTTAAGTTTCATTTAAAAAGTACAGGCAGGTGAAAGTAAAGGCAGCGTCTTCAATTTTTGTCTCAAAGAAAGATTAGAGAGTTCTCTCTTCTCGAGCATTGATTTAAATATATCTTTTTTCAATTATGAGAAATATAATATATTTGTGAATTCTATATACTGATATATGTATATAAATTTTTTAATGTTGATGTTGAAAAGAAACGAAGTTTTAGTCTTAAATATTCTAAAAAGCCAATTATTTTGAACACTTAAGTATTCATCTATAAAATTAGGTTGTATTATATATGGGTGAATTTTTATTTAGTTTGTTGAATAAAATTTTGTTCGAAAAATGGCAACTTTTTAGGCAGCTGCGTACCAAGAGGTCTCTCCGAGAGAGACTTGCGTGGTGTGAAAGAAACTTTCTGAAACGCAAATTTGCACCACGTCTAACTTTTGCGAGAATGCGCGGGCGCTCACGACGTCCGAGCTGTATCGACGTCCGAAAACTCGGTCCAGGTGAGAAAGTTATGGGGTGAACAGATAACTTTTTAAATATTCGCAAAAGTTTGCGCTACGCCAAACGCGTAAATACCACGACGTAGAACGCGTCGAGAGTTTTTTCGTTCGGTTCGTGAAACGAAGGGCGAGTCTTATCGACATTCGGCGAACACCATTTTTCCTCTTTGATGTCCGGCATGTGTTATCATTTCCACGTCGGCAAACGGTCAAAAAGGAGTGGCGCGACAGTGGGCGAAAATGGGTCGTCCAATAATTCGATTCCTCGAAAACACCGTTACGATATGTATGGATTTGGGTTAACTTCGTTTCAGCGATTTTACAGTCACGGCGTGTAAGATTCTCGTTCGCGATGCTTTCAGACAATATAAAATTTATAAGTAAAAGTATCCCTTATTAAAAATTAATATTTTTTTTTAATAATCCTACATAGAAATATAAGCTATAATTTATAAATACTGAAAGAAGCTTTGTTTGTTAAATATAAAAAAATATGTGAAAATGGGCGATTCTAATATGCATATTACGCATTATATAATTCTGAATTTATTTTAAATATATTTATATTATATTTTAAATATATCATATTTTATGTATTTTTTTATATTGTGTAAATTCATTGCTAAAATATAATTACATATAAATTACAATTTACAAAAATTAAAAATATTTAATTGTATAATCTTCATGTAATTAAAACCAATAAGATTATACTTTGTAATACATGTGGCATTCTCTAAGCACATAGAACATTTTATATTAAATTGAGAAGCACGTTTTATAACTATGCAAAGTTTATTATTATATATATATATAAATATATATGTATATATATATATATATATATTTAACATTATTGTTGTATTATCTATATATTCTCATACATCCCATTTTATCCTATTGCTTTGGAAACATTTGAGTGTCGATATTAACGTATATATTAATATAATATCAAACTCCATACATATTCTATTCGACATTCCATGATATTTTGTCAGTATAGAAGTCAGTATAGAAGTACGTGAGTCTTTTTTGTAGCACTAAAATAAGCGAGAAAGAATTACATGAACATTGGCGTAACATAGTCGATAATCCGATTCTAGAAAAACGTACGTCTCGAAGTGCCATGGATTTGGGTCACTGGTTCGAGGCCTGTTGAATGCCAGATCGTTTCGCCGATTTCGCTATTGCCTCGCGGATTATGATCTTTACTAGAATCACTCGACTAACGACGATGCGGGACCATTTGAAATATTTGAATATTGAAACTGAAAAAAGAGATGAAGAATAAAGGATCAAATTGGTGAATTTGTTTCGTGATTTCTTCGTCCCATGAAAACAAGATTGCTAATTTTGTAAAAATCAGTTGAATCAGTTTCAAGGATTCGTAAATATCTCCAAAAATTCAAATAATTCTGAACTTCCCTTTGAGCAAATTATGTGATGTCAACAATACTCGAGTTTATCTTAAGCTCTCAAAGTTCTATATCTTATAGCGTTAAAATGATAATCTTTCATTCACAGATACTTTTTACTATACTTTTAGATATTTTGGATTGACAGTTTTTGTGTTTACAAAAGCGTTATGAAAAATAATGTAAAAGAATCATCATAGATTTAAACAAAAGTGATTTTTTTTTAAACTTTAATAGATTCAATGTTTTACTTGTCGTATTTTTTGTCACAGTATATTAAAATAAATTGTCACATTTAAAGTACTAATCGCACTTGAAAGACCATTCCAATTAGCTGGGTGCCATGCTGCAGAGATTATCGCCACTAGGGAATCGAGAGCCATCAAGAACAAAGAATTATTCATCACAAATTATTCTCCTCCGTTAATTGTGACTTATTCAGAAATGCAGAACATTCTTGTGTCGTATTATTCTATTATTCCTACGAAGATTACTTCGCGCAATGTTCACAATTTTACCTTCTGTTAAAAATTGCAATATCAGCAGTTAGAAATAGAATTCAGATCCTAAGCCTTAAGAAATATTTTAATAAGAAATAAAAAAATTATAAATCTACCAAAACATAGAAATATGTATTTTTATATAGTATAAGTTGAAAAATGAAGCACACTCGCGTTTTAGAACGAAAAAGATTTGTAACCGTTAACGCAATAAGCAATAAGCATTCTCGAAAGAATCATCGGAATTCCGATGATTGTTCTCTTGGAAACATCGAATGGCCGAGGTCGATGAGCGAAAATTCGGTAACGAGTACGTCAGCGATCTCGTAACTCTGGGTTATGTGCAAAGCGCGTGCAAAACGGGTAAAGGGCAGGGAGTAAAGAGGAAAAGGGACAGAATCAATAAACTACCCTGCCAAAGCGAGCTTCGCTCGAGCGAAACGCGCGACACCTTTAACGTAACGTCCACCTCGGCCAAGTCGAACTGTATAACGATATTCTGAAATACGAAATCATAAATCAAACGAACTTGCTACGAGAACCGAATCAATGACGATATTCAATACGGGGGGCGTAAATTTATGCGAATAAATAAAAATCCAGTCGTTCTTGGAGCATTTCAAGTAAAGATATGAATTTTGTAATCATACACAAATCGAAGACATTTAGACAGATGTTTGCACATAAAAATCATTTGAAATTAAATCGGAATCATATAAAACTGTTGTTGCGTCGAATTAGAGGCAGTCAATCTTTTGAAGGAAAACAATAATTTTTCACAGTTGTGCGAACTGTGACGCAATCTATTGCACGTTGGAAAAGATTTAAGAGCGAAGATGATAAAACACGGATTGTTAATTCGAACATAAACCGACTGTGACTTCGGGCAGCGCACTGCGTGTGTGTGCATGACGAAGATAAAGAAAATAAAGGATAAAGAGGACAAGGGTTGGAATCGATAAACCATTCCGCCAGCTCAAGCTCAGCCCAGTTCACCTGAAACTAGCCGAGTACTGGATAACGTTGTAATATCCATTGTGCTCGATGGAAAGAACTCTTGTGTCGGGAATCATTAAAATCCAATTTTACAATCGGTAACACAAGCTGATCAGAAATAAGCTCTTAATCAGTGAGTTTATAATATCTTTTGAGGATAGCTCTTAACGTATAATTAACATTATTATCTTTAATATTTATAATTATCATATTTGTTATCGACACTTATATTACTTGAAATTCTATTATTAATTCTCATTTTTATTTACATCGTAAAGCGTAATATATTTTTTGCTTCTTTTTCGGAGCTATGTTTAAATTTATATTAAAAAATACACCTAAAGAGGTTTAATAATCAATGTTTAATAATAATAATATAAATTTTACTAATTCTTACGTAATGTTAACTACTACCTTATGTATTATACTGTTATTGCACCAATAGCGTGCAATAATTGAATATTAATTATTCCATCATCACCTAATGGCGTGCGAACAGTTAAAGGGAAGGGGGGAGGGGGGGGGGCGAAAGAATAATTCAATTGAACTTCTAAAGACTATCTTGAAATATAGATTATCAATTATTCACACAATTTATTTAAATCGTATTATTGATCGAAAACATACGAACCAACGTATCATCAACGATAAATGTGCATTGACCGAAAGTAATATACTGTTGCAGGCAGCATCCTCGAAATCCTCTTCCTTTCTTACCTATTCTGTGCTCGAGCATATTCAGTCGTCAGTGCACTTCCCTATTTTGTATTCACGAATTCCTTGGCCAAAGATGTGTTCTTAAACGTTTGAGTCCGCAGTGAAAATATCTCTCTTCCCTTCAATCTCCAAGACGAGATACTGCAGCAATACGATTTCGATCAGAGCAGTTTCTTGGCCTAGTATGCACATTGGCTAACCCAGTTTGGGAAATTGTGACAGGTGAAACACGCAAACATTTCCACGATCTGCCATCTAATGAATCATTACAAAAAAAAAAGATCGAGCGATTAAATATTTCTTCTTTTGGTCTACATATGACAAGAAATATATCATGTATATTACATTCAACTGATTGTAAAATTGCACATTTTTATCTTTCAAAAATCAGATTTATTACAATTATACTAAGTGAAATGCCGACAAAATATCACACTTAAACATGCGATATGATTTGCTAACTTTAAATGCTTATAATGAAAAAATTATTATAACCTTGATATTTTGATATTAGAATTTTCGTCTCAAAATGACTTCAATCTGCCACTAGCAAATGGTGCGTAGGGTCTGAGACACCCTGTACCAGTTATAAAATAAAAAGAAAAAGAAAAAGAATTCGAAAAAATTATCTATTAATATTTTCAAATTTATTTTAGTTTTTGTGACATGAAAGATTTTCCTATGATATTACCGCTCGCGAATGTAGTGTTTGTCAAAACGGACACCGGGCGATTGAGGATTGAGGTGGCAGGTGTAATCGAAGATCGATTTAACTTGCTTATAACACCATTCCAGGCAGGTGTTGCCGCCTAACTGAGGTACCATTTCGCGCACGTAGAGCCCATCGGGGAGTCAACATCTCTGATATATGGCATCATGTAATTGAGCATTCCTGATTCTCTGATCTTTCTTAAGAAAGACTCTTATTACATTCGTTGGTATCGAGCCTTTATATCTAAAGTTTACAGAAATATTAAAGTGATGAATAACGCAGTTAAAGATGCTGGGAACACGCAGAATCAGTGGCGAAGGAATATACATATAATTCCTTTCGTGCTTTAATAAAGAAATTAATTACTGTCCGTAAATATGATTGTTTTCAAAGAACTCGGAAACTGTCCTCTTTTATTTGTAAAAAAAGTTTCCAATTATTATGTCATAAAGTCTCTCATTTATTATATCATAACCTTCATTAATTATGACTGTTAATTACTTATCGTAATCATATACACATAGTACCTAATCATTTATTTGATCATATTTTTCCTGACCCTGCCTTCAACCGAATCGATCTACGTTTCTTTCATCAATGCCATAATGTTGATTTTATCTCGATTATTAGCATCGTTGCTGATTAAAAAATCAATTAAATGCAAGACCTTTCGGATTATGGAATCACGTTTTCTCTCTGAAACGACTGAAACAGTCCTATCGCCATCCGCTGGTCGGTGTGTTAATATTTGCATTTCATTTCCATTTTGAGCGCTGGAATGAGATAAATTCGGTCAACGGATTTTCTTACATGCGCCACTGCGTGCGAAGCGTTCGATCGATAACCGAATAACGAGGAAATTAATTAATTATTACGCGTGGTCTGCGCGTGAGAGACGGGCGCAGCCACGATTTCCGAAAGAGGCGGCTTCACGGGATAACGATTATTCAGAGCTTGATATCGCGCATCCTGATGGTGATAAATGTTACTTCGAAGCCATTTATTATCATATGCCGAACTAAATTAACTTGAGAGTATATACACATAAACAAATCTGTAATGTAAGTTTTGTTGAGAATTTAACACATAAATTTCTCGACTAACAGATGGACTTTAGACGTGATTACCCGAAGCTAGAGATAAATATCAATCATCCTTAATAGGTATTCATTTCTCATTTCTTTGCTGAAAGTATCATAGATGATATGTGTGTCATAGAAAATATTATATTAATCGGAATCATATTACTTGACGTTACTACAATAATTTATGTTAAAATAGTTTTCTGTTAAACGATCACCAAAATTGTCAATCTGTCAAAACTAATAAAATATTTCAAAGAAGATTTCCGTTTTTAAATTGATTTCACATAAGATTGTCAGCCTTTTAAAAGAACATACACTCTTTTTGAAGTAAAGCTGATCATTAATTAAAATGTTACATGCTTATAAAATGATATCAATAAGAATTGTAAATAAAAATTATGTTATAGAAATTATTAAATATTTACATCCAACGCATAAAAAAATTATATATAGTCTCTGCTTTCGATCCGAACCATCATTTTTTTAAATGTACATATGTACTCTTTTCTTGTGATTCAGATATGGTAACTTTAATCGCACATTTTCGTTCTAAAAGTATGTTTATTTATTAGCATCAATCTATTTGCGTAGTTAATTAGCAGAGTCACCTTGCTGTGTACATCAAATGTGTGATTATGGTTACGATTACATCGTGTTTAGTCCGCGACCTACACGATAGGTGCCCTTATTTAATCTGTAGATTAAACAAAGACGCCTATTGTATAGATCGCGGACTAAGCGCATGGTGTAAACTAGGCCTCTATATATATATATATTGAATATCTTGGCGCGATATCGCGAGCAACTCCGAAAGCAAGCGGGCTGCGGGACTTGCCTAAAAGGGTGGCGGTGCCGCAGGTGTGTGCTATACAGAGCAGGCAGAGTTTGCTGCGGCTGTTAGCCGACACAGCGGCGCGGTGCTCTGCTTTTATTTCCTCAACTTCCTCCAGCCGCAGCCCCCAACGGTCGGCTGGCTGGTCGGTTGGCCTGCCGTCTGCTCGAACGAGAAGGTGAGCAGCGGAGGGTGATGGACGCTGTGGGGCTGTAGGGGTTGTAGGGGTTGGTTGGGCTGGTAGGGGAGGCAGGTATCGATTCCATCTTGCATGGAGAGGAGAAAGACCACCTCCCTCCTGTTCTCCCTCCCTGCACCTCCCTCTCGTCGAGTCCCCCGCGCAACCCACGCACTCCGGGTCACCGGGTCAAAGCTCACGGCCGCCGGCTCACTGTTGCTTCTTCGAAATGGGTCTCTCGCGACTGGTACGTGCGACTGGCAATGCGTGTGCCTTTATTTTTTTCCTTTTCAAATACACACGCATACTCATGCTCGTTGATTTGTTCCTCTGTTACCGCGATACTGTGAAAATTAATCCATCAGGCTTGCTCGTTATTCGTTATGTAGGTAGTTATGTAGATTAATTGTTTTACGTAATATAATTGAAACTCGAGAAAGTGACAACACTCGATGTTTCAATTTTGCGAATTATGAAATTTTTATTTTTATTTAACTTATTTACCAGATATTTCACATTGTACGCTAGAATGTAACAAAATATAAAATCGATAAAGTATATTTATTTTTTTAATGATTCTGTCTTTTAAATATGGAAACGATGAGGAGAATTAATTTATATAAGACAGATAATATGATACTCTATTGAAATTGACAAATTTTAATTTTGTATGTGTTTAAATGTATGTTTCGACTCGATGCATTTGTGTGAAAAGTAATATTATGAGAAGTTAGATGTCGTAAAATTGTACAGTTACTTCTTGCATTCTTTTCTTTATCATAAACTGTAATAGATACATATATGATATGTTTGAGTTGTTAACTCATTTTATGTATACGACGTAAATATCGTTAATGGAAATCTATGAGAAATTTTGTCAAGATAGTTTTCTAGAAAACTAGAATATTTTTAAGATAACTCCTATAAGAGTAGGATGTTTAGATACATTTTATAAGTATCCTGTATAAGAGAAAATTTGAATAATATTTTCAGCCGCCGCCCCCGGTTATACACTGATAATGTTTCAAAGAAAAATGAGAAGATATATATCTATATACACACGTTTTTTGTTCTTCTGTACGCATGTACACGTGTAATGGATTGAAAAATGCTTTTTTTAATTATCAAATCTTCTTCTGTTTCGCATTACTATTTTAATTAATTTTAATGATTATACTTAAGTTTAACTAACGATGAAAAGAGCGATAATATATCGATCATGTTTTTTTTCTAAGCATAATATCCCACGCACGAACACGTTCCTCATTTTTATATTGCCCTATAAAATTATCTTTTCTTTACGCATTATCATTTATAAATGACCCGATTATTTCACAATTTAAAAAAGTTAAGCATTTTTTTCGTGATGCGAGATATGGCTAACGAAGTTTAAAGTAATGTTATCAAATAATTTAATTTTTTATCGTCGTGAATACAATAGAAATATTTTTACGTATTTATTTTAATCTAGTAGCTATTATATTTTCAGATACTTGTTAGTTGACTCGCCAATGGAACTTGACAGTTTGACAGTCTCCTTTAACCGATCCACTCTCGCGAGTAAATATATCTTGACATGGTCGGTATGATATAGCAGTAGATAATCTAGCTGGATAGGGTCCGAGAGAGTACAATGAGGGGAGAATTGCGTTGTACATTAACTGTATAAATTTACTTTATTCATCTCTGTCAGAGACCATGCTAATGTTACACCGCACTCGCTAAATCTTTGTATGACTATATGTATAAAATTAGAGCAGTGTCCTAAAGAATTATTTAATTATCAATTAGAGGAGAAAGTAATATTATGGCCAGATATAATGGCTCCTCTTAATAATATCTCCGCTATTAAGTATCGAATTCTAGCGATTACTTATGGAATTATTTCCTTAGTAGCTCGCTGTTATAACACGGTGCTAATATGTCAATACACAAGCATTTATTGTAACATATTTTTACTTTCATTTTGAAACGTTTTTAAGATACATTTTAGCATTTAATTACACATATTTCCCTATTCTTCTTATACTTGAATGTATTATTACACGAATATATGTATGTTTTGAATGTGTTTTTTGTTGTTTAACATTTTTTTATCTGGCTGTATACATTTCGAGTTATGCAAAGTAAAACAGTAATATGATATTTTGCTAATGTAGCCCTCTAAACGTACTGATTATTGGTGGTCTCTTTTTCGAAGTTTTCATATCAAAATAATTATTTCGTAAATCGATTGTAGTTCTACTATTAATTATCTATAGTTCTATTTATAATTAATTATTTATAGTACTTTATTATCTATAGTTTATATTATATTTATATAGATTTTTAGTACTAAGCAGTCTATACGCTGAAGAAGTTATTTGTATGTACATATATTTGCATAATTTGAATATATATACTTTACTGTATTTTACTTTTTTATTCCTGTTAATTTTGTAATTCCTT